CCAAAATTAAAAAAAAAAAAAAAAAAAAAAAATAGCTCTCCGCACATTTTTTACATTTTTGTTTAGTTTACAAATCATTTTGAAGTAAGAATTCAGTTTTTACAATTATCAACATCATAATACTTATCCCTTGTTTTGGTATAGCTTAAATTGCAGATTAAAATTTAAGCAATTAATTTTAACAACGTATTTCATAAGATTCACAACTTTTCAACCATACATTTCATTATTTTTATCCTTTTTTATCAAAATATACTAAAATATGATTTTTAGATACACCAAACAGTGGGTTATTCTTTAGAGACTCTAAAACAAAAGTCAACTCATGTTTCTATTCATTTGACACTTTGTCATTAGTATGATCGTACTTTTTCACTTCTCGCATGCTTTAGGATAGGGGCTTAACTTGATTCAGAGGAATGAAGCGGAACAATAATTGACACTCAACAAGTTTGTTGATTCTCAAGGAATACTGAAAATTTAGGCAAAATATGGAGAAAATCATTCTCACAATAATTTATTCTTTAATAAAACAACAAAATAATAATAAAATCTAATTCGAGAATTTAAAGGAAAACACAATGCTCTAACTTAATAGTCTAAACGAAGATAAATTTAGGAAAACTAATCTAAACAAATATCTTATTAAAAATAAACAAGGAATTAAGTTATATTGACAATAAACAAATAAAGATACATAATAGAAGTGCCAATATAACAGCTTAAACGACGGAATTTGGCAACAAAAATGGTTATATTGAAGATGGAATTCTATTATGCGTAACCATTTGATTGAAAATGATTCAGTATGCACATGGAGTAGTGTATTGAAGACTAAATTTTTCTAGAAAAAATAAATAAATTGTATTTATCTCTACCAGCTTTAGCTTATATGATGCGGTCGAATAGATGTTGTTGGTATCAAATGGTCCCAGAAATTTGAATCGAGTAAATCAAGCACAAAGAACACAAGTATTTTTCACTTGAAGACTCAAATGTTCACCAAAAATGGCTACGTCGCCCGTTGAGCTTCCACCTAAGTGGTTAACGCTTTAATCCCCTAGAATCGGAACAAAAATATCAAAGTACTAGGATAATCGACCCAAGAAACACTCGATTTTGAAGCCCTCGGACTCAACCTCACTTTTCTCTCATTTCAAGATTGCACCAAGTAATCGAGTTCACCAAAGAACAATAAGTGACTAACTATTTCAATAATCAGACTAGAAATCACCAAGAAAATCAGAAGACTCGAGATTACAGAATGAAAACCAAGGTTTTTCAGAGAGATCACAAAGAAGACGAAAAAGATTGAAAACCTAGAATAATCTCGAATCACAGAAGAAAATAGAGAGTCAAGAATATAAAAGGTCACCAATGCATCCAATGGACCAGCTAGCAATACTTGTCTTCATCTCAGCCTTCCATTTAAAACGTATCTTTAAGTAATGCAAGATGGAAAACAAACATGGGCCAAACCTAGTCACATTCCATCAATTGGGTCAAGAATTAATACTTCAGTTTCCATTTTGGACTGCATCATTGGACCCAGAAAAAATGTTAAGCACATTTTTAACAGATGTGCATATTAGAAGAATGGAAACAAAACAACCGTGGAATAATTTTCTTTTACACGTTCTTAGCGGCGTAGATCATTAATGAGAATTCATCTTTTTCTTCATCTTTCGGCACCAATTTCTCTTCTAACCACAATCTGCTACCCGTTCCACTTCTAGTTCTGAACATGAACACTGCATAGCCTGATGCTGCAGGATTGTAGAACCAATCATGAACATCCCACATGAGATCGACAAGCAAACCATCAAGAAAAATAATCTGATTTCCTCTAAAATTCCATTGTAGCCTCTTTACGCGAATCACCATCTTCTTATCAATACAAACTGATAGAACCGAATGCTTTAGGCCTTCGTTTTCTCCACTGCAATGTATCAAAATATCATGAGCAACACCTTTTTCGCAGAACTTAGCCTTGGTTGAATATAGGGAGCTGCCAGAAATATGTTCTTGCCGTGAAACTAATGAGAATTTAGCCATTCGAGTAGCAGATTTGAGCTTTTTTATTGATGTGTCTTCACCCATATCACCAAGAATTAAGCTGAGTTCTGAATCGACAATGAGAAAAACATAATATCCATCAAGAGGTTCAGGACCTGTGTGGTATCTGGCTGTTGAAAAATCCCAGAAAACTTCAATGTTTGAGTTGTCGAATTCAAGGGATTTACTGCCTTTAAGCTTTCTGAATAACCTCGAATTGAAGTTGAGTTTAATAGTAGTTGATGGATCACTACTAAAGGTAATATTTAGGCCTTGAGAAATATTATTCTTGTACCATGTGGCTGAGATCAAAAATTGCTTCTGAGTAGAGAGAATTGTTCTGTAGAGACATGTGACAGCATTTTGAATTGAAGGGATCAGGGCAGGAGTCATGCAAGAATTTTTTGAATAACTAGAACATGAAGTATCAGATACCTGAACTGTATATTCACTAAAACAAGAAGCAAAGTCTCTCATTGTGAACAAATTTGGAGAAGAAGGAGGGCGAAGTATCTGAAAGGATGCACTTTGCATTGACCCTTAAGAAGAAACAAAAGATTGATATGATGAGTGTTTGGACCATCTTACCATCTCATCTAATAGCTTAAGTTTTTAGAAACGAGATTAATGTATTTATTTGAATATTGTCTTTATCATGCGGCTTACGTGCTAGGATAATTTATTTGTTCAACTAAGATGCGTACACAATTTTCATAAAATGAGTGACAAAAAAATTTGTTTGTTCAAAGTTTTTATCAACCAGAGAAATTTATTTATCCAAATTTTATTTTCACCAAGCATCATATTTTCAAGAAATGTGTAACAGCTAACAAATGCTCAATTTTCATTAATGGGTGACAGTTAAACAAATAAATGCTCAATTTTTATAAACGGGTGACAATTAGATTAAAACTGATGATCTTTGCCTATAATGGTGCATCACATTACTTCATATAAAAGCTTAAGTTCTTGTCCACAAAATAAATTAACTTATTTAAACTTTATCTTTAACAAACACAAACGTCAAACGTGCAGGTAATATTCTAAAGTGGAATTTCAAAGAAAGCTAAATGAGAGGAAAAGCTATGGAAATTATCCAGTTTGCTGACAGGCCATTTGTGCATTAAATATGATTCTGTAACTGCTCTTCCGCCTTAAAATTTGCATCTTTTGACCAAGGAAATTAAGATTACAACTTTGAGATATAAACTTTTATGTCTTCTTTATTTATTTATTGCCAGTTCATCTCAAATTAATATTGAAGGTTTAGAAAAAGAAATTGAAGCATAAAAAAATTTAAGGACAGAATATAGTTGCACAGCTTTTTCAATCTTCTTGTTGGTTGTTTGTTAACCTTGTATATATGGTTGACTAGAATATGTAAACATTATGAAAATCCATGAAGATTCACATATGCTAACACAAGCACTTATGTACTCAAAATTGTGTGTGTAACATACCTTTCAATTACTTTTAGAGGAGGTGAGCTGTGTTAACCATCTCAAGGAGAATATATCGTTTAAGTCTTGTTTTCAATATTTTACATGAGACTAAATTTGTTTTTCGATCAAATATGTGACATTTGCACAAATATCAAATGAGTGACCGAGAGGCTTAAAAGTAATTCCAAGTGTTTTCTTTGACTATAATATCACGTGAACAATCATATTTAAAAGCTTCAAGTATTAGAGAACACTTGTATTTATTTAAATATTGTTTCCTATAAAGCTTGACTCTGACTTGATTATCATAATTTCACGGGCTTGACGTTCGATGTTAAAATTAAAATGGTTTGTACTTGTTGAAGATGTAAATATCTATTAAAAATATTGTCTTTTGACATCCGTTTAAATTTTATGATGAGATGATTCAATGACATCAATAAAATAAATTTTGTTAGGGTTGAATATATGTAGCAATCCATAGGTCAAAAGTGTTAGTATTATTCTCAAGTGTAAAGTGGATAATCAAACTGTTGGAAAACATGGGTTGAGTGGCTAATTTTGGCACAAAATTTGAGTGGGACCTGATTGGCTATTTTGGAAGTTCAAGATTGATTTATGTTTTCCTCCTTGAGAAAATAGAAATTATGTATTTACTTGCTAAAAATGATATTTAGGTGAATAAGAAATTGAAGCTCAAAGTATGCTAATTAAAAGGAGTTTATGTTATTGGAATGAAACCATTTAAGGTTGTTCCACATAGGAAAATTATGAAAATAAATACCACCTTAAATAGAATTGCACTTTGAAATGGTGTGATCATGTGTAG